TATTCCTGAAGTCCCAATTTTTGTAAACCAATGCTGGCTTTGGAGTTGGATTTGGCTTTCCTTCTCTAAATTCAAGCATGTTGTTAAGATTAAATTCATGGTTTCTGCCTTAAATCAAGAAGCCAATTGGTGTAAGGAAGAAGAAACAAAATCTGGGGACTCATATCTTATATGCAATTTTCTCTCTGAAATCCTAATTTTCACACATACTTTTAATGATTATTGTTGTCTTTCCCTAATGCATACCTTAAAACTTAAAAATTTAATTTAATATTGATGTGTAACTTTTCCACAAGGAATAATAACAATTCCTAACAGCAGTCTTAGAACTCTCTGGAAGGAAGATGGGGCCCCACATCATGGTTTCCACTTGACTCAACCTGATGCATCTGAACTACAAACATCACCCTAAAACAGGTTTGAGACTGTTTTGCTTGAGACAACTCATGAATAGCTAGCTGTAATGGTGCACCTTTTTATTATGCCTTGGCCAGAGTTTCATATATAACTACAGTCAAGAATTTTCTGCCACACAGTGACTAGCTACATATGTCACAGCCAGTTCTGTTGAGAAATTTTGTTGCTAAAAATTTTCTTCCTACAGGATCCATTGGAGCAATCATCATCCCATTTCAGCAGGAAGTAGTCTTAAAATAACGATGCCCCCTTTCCCTAACCTTGGAATTTTGGGATAATAGTTATCGTCTTTGGGTTGGTTTTTGTTATTTGGGATTGGGTGATGCTTACACTCAGATTTATCTTTTAGACAGGAATAGGGAATGGTTGGGAAAGGTATGGTTTAGATGGGATATAGGTAGATTAGCCTATTTTCTTGAGAATTTGAGTAAGAATGAGATAGTATTTTACACCTTACATTGTTGTGTATTCTTATGTGGTAAGCTATGTAAAATTAAGTTTATATTTTGTTATATATCTTTCCACTTACAATGTTTTATGGACATTATTTTTTTTACCATATTCTATGTATGTATACTTTTCTTGTATTCAAGACATTTTGTATATTGATACAATTTGGGATATTTATCTTGCTGCCTTTTATAGTTCTACCTCTTGTCTTGACACTTATACTCTACCTCTATTTTAGGGATTTACATGTATGTATATGTAAATAGTTATATTGTTTAAGTATTTGTTCCTGCTTTACTCAGGAAAGTTTTAATCAGTCTTTTTTAGCTAAGTTCCCGAGTATTACAGATTATCTTCACTCACATTTCCTGTACTTATGAGATTAGTCAGATATAGATGCTTAATCTTCAATCACTTCATAGACATGCAGAACATGGCATTTAAATGTTTTAATATTAGTACTCCATTGACATGAGACACTGTTGCTCCTGACAGCACCGTGCACTTTCCCGAAAATATGTTGGACACTGTTGTTGCTCCTGCTGGAGTTCAATCTCGCCTCAGCTAATGGCCTTTTGGGCATAGAATTGCCCCCACCTTGACCACTGATTTGGACACGCAGTCCTATGTGCTTGCAGGAGACAAATATAGAAGACTGCTTGACCTTGCCAAGTCAGGGTAAGACAGCCATCCTACCTCCCTGCTGTTGTTGTGGTCTGTCAAGTTCTCTTGGCCTTAGCCAAATCTGGGTGTACCAACGTTGCTATGAGACCTAGGGTGACTGTTCAGGTGGCTTGCTGTTTCTGTCCTTGCTGCACCTTTTGGAAGTTGTCCATCCGCATTTCCTGTCTACTCTAGTATTGTTAATTTCCTTCTCAGGTCTTGGTGAGGTTGAAGATTAAACTATCACAACTATTATTCTCTCTTTTTAGTTAGATATATTAGGTACTAGACTTACGTTTTCCAGCTTAGGACAACTCTATTGTAAACTCCATTATGCCCTCACCCTAGGACTAGATATGTAGGTCATTTTGTTCTCGATTTTCCTTTTCTTAGAGCACACTTGTTATTCACTGTTTTGTATATAGTTTTGTATTAAGCCTAAATCTTTCTTTAGACTACAAGGGGAATTGTAGTGAGATAGTTGTGACACTGACCACGCCCAATGGGGGGTGGAGCCATGGGCGGAGTGACCTGTCGAAGGAGGTCAGAGGGGGCCAGGAAAGGCGCTCTCTTTCTGGCCTGACTCGGACAGGAAATGATCGGGTTGAATTTCCTGGTGTTCATCGGTCTAGGTTGTAAGTTATTTCTCCCTGAATAGACATCTATTCGGCCTATTTGTTTATCCTGATCCTTATTTACCATGATAGGCCAGCTTGATTCTAGGGAAAATAACCAAGAAAAGTAAAGGGGAACGTAGTGACCAAAATTAGGCCTGACACAAGCAGAGGTCACTCCAGCAGAAGAGGTTCTGGGTACATCACCTGGACAATATCTTGCATGAGTGATACATTTCAGGCTAAGCCATTTAACGAGGAGTTGGGAACTATTATAATTTATTTTAATCAAGTTTGTTCCCACTAGAAAATGTAAGAATATGAGTTTTACTGTCAGGCACTCAAGGAACTTAGAACAGGAGTCAATGGAGAATCTTGAGGCAGGACCAAATGCTGAGACATTGGAGGAACACTTGTTACTGGCTTGCTCAGTATAGATACCTCAATTCTTTTATAACCTACAACCACATTTTCGAGTGTGGCACACACCACTGAGCCAATGGCCCTCTCTGATCATTTATTAATCAAGAGACTGTTCTATATGGTTTCCTACAGGCCAATTTCTTTAAGGCATTTCTCAAATCAGATTTCCCTCTTCTCAGGTAACTCTAGATTTGTCAAGTTGGCAGGAATTAATTACAGCCAGATTCCACAGCGGCCTGAAGAAAGAAATTGGTCCAAATACCAAGATCTACATTGTGTTTAATTTGTGGATGATAAAAATCAAATATTATGGAGCTAGGAAATGTGTGTCAGAGTTCAAGTTTCTGCAAATGGATCCAGAAATTATCCTGCATGAAGATGTAAAGGAGAAGCCCATGCTGCAATTGGTACCATGGGTGGAGAGAATGAAAGAACCATGAAATACCTCTCATGCAAAGCTGTATGGGTGTAGTAAAGACAGCTCAAGAAACAGACAGTATGCTACAGTCAAAAGAGATTAATAACATTAGGCCCTTTGAAAGCAAAATGACTTCCTCATGTCATTATGTGATAGGGAGATATGGAGCTGCTGGATTTGGGGATTATCCTCATAAGAGTTTTCTTTAGTCTGCTCTTGCCTTGATATGTCCACATCATCCTTTCTATTATGATAATAATTACTCTTTTTCATTTTATTTTAGCAGTATGTGAGTAGATTTATTATTATTCATGTTCTCACCATTGAAAAACTGGCCTGAGTTCCAAAAGAGACTTGTATGTCTGTAAAACTTTGTGACTGCTAAAGAGTATGGATAATTTTATAAATCGCATAAATTTATTTTTTCATTGAAATGGCCTTTAATACTATGGACACCAAGAATTATGAGATGATAGCCTTGTCTCAAAGGTAGTATGATTGGGGTTAATGTGATTGCTCAGTGGTATGTATGTTTGCTATCTAATATAAAGGGAAGTGAAACCCAGTGATACTGAATGTAAAAGAAGAAAAATGAGTCAGAGCTGAATGGGCTGTGGGCACAGATTGTCACTCCTGAGACTTTTTTGATCTGCAGGGGCCACAATCAACTAGGACCCGATTCAGTCCCAGAGTTACAATTTTACCAAGTATTCCTGTAGGTCTATAGGCATAGGCACAGAAGAAAGGAAAGGAAAAGCTCAAATCCATCCCTTCTGCCTGCAGAGGTTAGTACTCAACTAACCACCATCTGTGACTCTACCCAGCACCATGGCTCTTCCTTATTGGGAACCATTGTGGCGTGAAGGTACAGGGTAGGGAGTTGGGAAGAGAGGCAGAAATAGACTGGTTTTTGGGCTGGAGAGAGGTACATCTAGATAGGTGAGGGTGGAAAGGAATAGGATGATGTGAATGGTCAAAAAGCCACCTTAGTCAAGGCAGGTGTTTGTGCCTGGTAGTTGGCCAAGTGTTCAATCTTGATCTAGGACCTAGTGCTGCCATTGAGACCTCTGTTGATGACTGTGGCTCCTGTCATCACTGTGTGCTGTACAGAGGCCTATGGTCTGAGGTTACACCTGGATCCATGTTGGCATCCAAGGCCCATGCTGACACACCAATTTGGGTAGCCTACACAGCATCCTGGGGACATGGTGACAACTTAGCTCTGGCTGCTGTCTAGGAGCATGTCTGCATCCATGGTTCTGCATCAGCGTCTGTGCTGCTGTCCAAGTCCCATGTTACCACAAGGGCTTTTGTTCATGCCTGGGGTATGTGCCACAACAAGTAACCATGTTAGTGACCAAGGGCTGTGACTCTGGTGGTGCCAGGCCAATTTGAGTAAGCCAGGGCTGTCACCTGGGACCATGGTATTTTCTGGACCAGGACCTTGACCATGGGCTTTGTATGTGTCTGTGGTTCGATAATAGTGAGGGGTAGATTGATGCCCTTGGCAAATGATGCCACCAAGGGCCATATAGATGCCTGGAGTCTGAGCTGTAACATGTGATCATGAGTGAGTTCAAGAGCCATGGGGCCACTGGGGACCTTCTTATCTTAGTGTCCTCTGCTGTAACCCAAAGCCATGGTGTCATCCACGCCAGTGCTGCTTCTTAGGTTGATATTTGGTCTTGGACCCTACAGTTCCAGGGTCTCAGTTGCTGTTTGGGGATGTTGCATTCACAGAGTATTATGACGATGACCAGGTTGGTCATCAACTTCAGACAATGTCTGTATACTAGGACTATGTTACACCCAAGAGTATGCTGATTTAGAAGGCAGGCACTGTCACCTAGAGCCACAGAAACAGCCAGATACAAGCTGCTAATCAGAGCCATATCTGGGTCGATGGATTTGTATGTAGAGTCCAGGGGTAGGGGGAGATGTCCATATTTTCAGATGTCACCAAGGGCCCTAAAGTTGGCAGGGTTCTAGCTAGCCACCTGTGACCATGTTGATACCTGGGAGAACATGCTGCAAATAGGGGCATGCTGATATATTTTTCAGGCCAAAGGTACTTCTGACTACCATGTCTGGACCATAGTCCTGATCCAACTTGGGTTTGTAGTGACATCCATTGCCTGTGTAAGAATGAGGGTCATTGGAACCATGCTGTGCTGAGCCAGCCATGTTCGTCACAAATACAGAGATGGTTTCTCCTGCCCATCCCTGGATATTGCAGCAGGCAAGTTGACCCTACCCTTCAGGGGAGATCTTGCCACCACACCAAGGAAAGATGATGGAAATCCTCACAATACTCACACATCTCACCTTGGAAGCAACTAGAGCTGGCACTGTGGTCAGGGAGACAGGTGAACTTAGACTACATGTGAGAAGGAGAGCAAACATATATACTCCCCCTCCCAAGTCAGCCATGGGGTGGCATGGATAAGGGAAAATTCCATCACACCCTCATCTATTACTCCCTGTGGCAGGTGAGAGAGCTGGGCCTGAGGTGACAAGATGGGAGAGGTAGTCCTGACCCTCACTGGCTTCAGTGAATGATAAAGTAGCCTCTGCTTCTAGTCTGGCAACACAGTAGAGCTCATCCTGTTTTTGGTTCCCAGGTGAGCCAGCCCTGAGGGTTTGAAAGCAAAAGAGCTGACACTTGTGAAGAAAAGATGTCCCCCATCTGTCCTCTGCTACCTGTGACAGTGAAAGAGATGGCCCCAGAGTCATGAGAGTGAGTGAACTGGCTAGCACTTCCCTACACCAGCTACAGCACTCAGGAGAGTGGGCACTAGACCAGCTAGAGCAGATGGGAGATGGGGCACTATAACAGATACAGCACACAGGACAGTGGGCCCTATGACAGCAACAGCACACAGGAGAGTGGGCCATGCAACTCACCTGGGAAGTACACTAGAGCTGACCCTGTTATCAGGGTTTGTGGTGAGTCAGCCTTGAGGGATTAAGAGCAGGAGAGCTCTACCTCCCTTCTTAGGAGAGAGAGCCTTGCACTTTTCCTTGGAAAAACAGTAGAGCTGACCCTGGTGGTAGGAGTGAGGTGGAGCTGGATCTGAGGGCCCGAGAGCAGGAGAACTTGCCCTGATCCTTGCTGCAGGCTGCATTGGGTGAGATAGCATAAGCAGTGCTGGAGAGCTCACCCAGGTAGTGACGAGGAGGGAAAGCTCATGAGCTGAGCAACACAACTACCATTAGAACCAGAATCAGGGATATGAGTTAGCTCACCCCAGTATCCACCAAATCCATGAAATGTTGGAGCATGTGAAGGGGACTGTTCTACAGACCCGAAACAGCAGTAGCTTCATTGCACAGGACAACAAAAGCATATTCAAGAAGATTCCCCTGAGAGACCATTATGAGTGTTGTTATAGACACCTGAGGCCTCAAGGAAGATCTTCTGGTTGTGGCAATGAACACTTGGAAGTGAAGATGAATAAAGGGTAAACTGTGTCTCAATGGGCCACGCTACAGATTCCACAAGAATTCTTCTTTCTTTTTTTTTTTTTTTTCCTTTTTTAATGTTTGCCTGTTTTTGTTGTTATTGTGTTTTGTTTCTTTGTTTTGTTTGGTTATTGTTTCTTCTTTTAAATTTGGTTTTCTTATGAGGAGGAGTTTGCAATTTAGAGGTGATAGGGAGATTAATGGAATCAGAGGGCATTATGAGAAATCAATAAGAGTAAAAGAAAATAAAACTAATTTTAAGAAATATGAGTGAGATCTCCATACCTCTCATTCCATCAGAGAACACTGGAACTGTGTAGCTATTTGTGATATTCACATAGCCCAGTGTACAAGATAGCCTTTCTAGTCCATGAAACATTACATACTGTCCACACAAAGAAGTTCAGGTCTGGATATTGGGAATCTATTTCCCATACTAAGTTGCCTAGACCCAGTCTTGGTGCAGTGGAAGAAGCTTGGTCCTGCCTCAACTTGGTGTGCCATACTTTGTTGATGACAATTGAAGACTTTCCCTTTCTGAATGGAGACTAAGGAGTAGAGGGTGGGATATAGGGAAATTGAGGGGTAGGGGAGATACACAGAAGAGAGCAGTGAGGGGAAACTGTAATCAGGGTATGAAATTTTCCCTCTTTAAACCAAAGTATATAAGGGTCTCCAGAAACAATAGAGGTTACTTTTCTTTGTTTAGGTATCACCCTTCTTACAAATCTTCTTTCACTTGGTATTTGTCGAGTTTATTTTTGCAACATGTATGCAGTACAGTGCATTTAAGGCTGTAGTTCACGATGCTCTGACTAAGTTCAGCACAAAAGGGAAAATGCTATTCTTAGCAGGACTTTCTTTCTCTGCCTAACCTTATTTGAAATCTATCTCTAGGCTCACATACCTGACCTTATTTAGAGCATAACTTAACAAAGAGCACCTGGAAACTCATTATGACTATGCTTAACTTTTCCATTCTTCCTATGTGCACTGGTATTTGAATTGATGCATCATGAATGATTATTTATCCACTATTATAACACATATGAAAAATAAGTGTATTCTCTTCTTTTTTTTGTCCTCCTCTCCCCACTGACTAAAGGTATATAATCTAGTGGCATTGCTTTACTAAATGAGCTGTCTCTACACCCACAGCTAAACACTCCTGTAATCCAGTTGTAGACAGAGAATACTAATGAGCAAAGGAGTCAAGACAAGGATGGAGAGACCCACAGAGACAGCTGACTTGAACAAGAGGGGAGCTCAAAACCCCACTGTGATAGCTGGGAAAACAGCATAGGAACAAAGCAGATTCCATGAACTTGGTTGTTAGTTGGGAGTATGTGGCAGTCTATGGGTCCTCTGGTAGTGGAACTGTATTTATTCTTAGAATACAAATGGAGTTTGGCAGCCCATTCCACATAGAGGGATGCTACCTCGGCCTAGAATCATATGGGAGGTCCTAAACTCTGCTCCAAAAGATGTGCCAGACTACGAAGCTCAACCATGAAAGACCTCGTCCTTTCTGAGGAGAAGAAAAGGGGGTAGCATTGGGTTTGTGTGGGGAACAGAGGAGGATGGAAGAATGCAGGAACTTGATTCAAATACACAGCAACCTTGTTTCAAATTTATATGTTAAAATTACTGAAAAACAACGGAGCAGTTTCTCTGAAGCTGAGATCTGGAAGTACTTTCTGCAATGCTCATAGCTGTCTGAAACATGCTTGCTGCTTCTGCTCCCGTTGCCTTCATGGACCTGTGTTGAAGGTAAAAGGAGACCCATAAACATGCATTTCCTCATTATTGGCCTGCTACTGCTTATTGGAAATATCTGAATACATAATAATGGCCTTCAGAGCTCAACATGTGAAAACATTCAGAGAAAGGTGCACTTGAGAAATACTGAGGAGGAAGTAATTTAGACAGACTCAGTGGATCAAGTTGATGCTTTACTTAGAATGAGTTGATTACTACAGGAGTTTTGCATGTGAACAGGAAATTTCTTCAAAAACCTTCTGATAGAGGCTGCAAATGAAGGAGTCCCCACTTCAGGCCTCTTGATTAAGCACTATGCAAGCATGCTTGGTCTTCACCACACTCTGTAGTTTCAGTGAGCTTATCTCAGAGAGAAAGGAGATCACACCAGGACCCCCAAAGGAGGGCCTCTGCTAAAGAAAGAGACCTCAGCTGAGAGTTCCAGTTTCCAGGGAGATCCGACTATCCTGCAAAAACTTCCCAAGTTTCAGCTCAGCCTTTGTCCTCTTCTGCCAGCCATTGGCTAGAGGTGAGTCTGGGCCCAATTGGGGCTGCCTCTCGCCTACAACCGAACTCCCTGGTTTGACCCCTGATCCCACTGCTCCTGTGTCCTGTCCCCATTGAGAGCACCCTTGGAGCTCTGATACACACCCACCCATCCCCCCACTGCAAGCCTGCCTCTACCACCCTGTGCCCTACCCTGCCCACTGTCCTGCTGCTCTGGTTGAGCACTTGGACAGAGGGTGGAGCCAACATTCCACCCTACTTAGGAGACTTCTCGGATCAACTCTGAACAAAGGAGACCTGCCTATCCACGCGGAACCACCCGTAATTTACACCTGCTTGGTCTCTCACCCCAACTCCAGTGCTCTGGGCCCCTCCCAGCCACGGGTCCACTCTGAGTTCCCACCGGCAAGATCCCTGATCCCCAAAGCAGGACCTCTGCTAAAGAAAGAGGCCTCAGCTGGAGAATTCCAGTTTCCAGTGAGATCCAACTATCCTGCAAAAACTTCCCAAGTTATATCTCAGCCTTTGTCCTCTTCCACCAGCCATTGGCTAGAGCCATTGGCTAGAGGCATCTTCTACTGGATCCTCAGCCGTGACCAGAAACCTGGGTACCTGTCTGCGGAGACACCTCCTATAAAGCTTCGACCAACCAGAGCTACAGATATTGAATCTCTGACCCACATAAGCCCACTGGGGAGGAACCATAGAGAGAGGGGGAGACCCCAGTAACACCTACTGGAAGATGTTATGGGAAGACGGCAATACAAGAAAACACCTAACAACAGAAAGGCAAGCATGACACCACCAGAATCTAGGGAATCTACACCAACTAGAATGGAATACAATAACAAAACAGAGGAAGCAGAAGGGAAAGACTTAAAAATTAACTTCATAAATATGATAGAGGCCCTCAAAGAAGATTTGAGAAAATCCCTTAAAGAAATTGAAGAAAAAAAAAACAAAAAAGTGGAATAAATGAACAAACTCCTTAAGGAAAGTAAAGAAAGTACAGAAAACCAAGAAAAAACAGTTAAGCAGGTGAAGGAAATGGTTCAGGACTTGAAAACTAAAACAGAGAAAATAAAGGCAACACAAACTGAAGGACTGCTGGAAATAGAAAAACTAGGCAAAAAATTGGGAAATACACGCACAAGCATAACCAACAGAATTCAAGAGATGGAAGAGAGAATCTCAGGCACAGAAGATAAAATAGAAGAAATTGGAAAGGAAGAAGTCAAACTGTCTCTATTTGCAGATGATATGATAGTTTACATAAGCGACCCAATAAACTCTACCAGGGAACTCCTACAGCTGATAAACACCTTCAGCAAACTAGCAGGATACAAGATAAACTCAAAAAAAAAAAAAAATCAGTAACCCTACTTTTTTCAGACGACAAAGAGGCAGAGAATGAAATCAAAGAAACATCACACTTTACAATAGCCACAAGCAATATA